TCAACCAATCTATCTATCTATCGATTTATCTATCTATCTGTCTATATATACCTACCTACCTACCTACCTACCTACCTACATACATACATACATACATACATACATACATACATACATACATGCACACAGGTACACATACACAAAAAGATGAGTCCATGCATACTGCATATGCAAACACGTATGTTTAGCAGTACACATTTCTTTCACATGGGAATTGGCCGCCCAGACATCTAATGTTTGAGGAGCAGATGACGGGTGGCAATCTCCAAACCCTGCAAGGGATGACTGGGTCCTGAAGAAAGTTTACAACCATGAGCTGGAATGAGCTAGGAAGAGTGGATGTGTGGACACGTTCAAGCCTTGGGATGAACCGTTGCCCAACACTCCAAACTCCAGCACAAACAAGAACCTCTAAGAAGTGAGCGGTTGGAAGGCCGGTTCCCAAAAGACGTATAAAACCCACTGGACCGGGGGCAACAATGGCGGGACAAGCCGAATCCCCACAATTAAACAAGAGTGGTTGGTTCAGAAAACGTAGGTCCGAAAAGGGACGACTGGTTCAGGGAGATACAATCCTGAATTATGGGATATGTTGGCTTTTGTTTGACCCAGGACCTCTAAAGGGGATGATGGGTGGTTCCAAACCTAAAGAAAAGGACACTGCGACTCCAAACCCTGAACATGGATGATCAGCATGGGTAGTGCATATTTCGAGGTTACAGCATTGTAAGAGACGAGAGACGTATTGGTTTTATGGAGTTGGCAGATATCAGATTGTGCGGAAGGTGTCAGCGACGTCAACGTCAACACAAACATCGTCCACCAGAACCTTTACAGCCACCTGCTTTGAGTTTCGCACCTGCTTTCCACGGCACTTTGTTTTGCATTCTGCATGACGTCTTGAAGAAGGGCGGCAGCTGCTCTGCGCAAGAGTTGTCCCGAGACATCATGAACCATAGTGTTTTAGCCTGTATGCTAGTACAAGGTCTCAGCCACCATGACATCAACGCATACCTCAACCCGAACTTCGACAGCGACATGTCTGATCTCATTTGGTTTGCAAGGCTTAGTCTCAGTGTGCAGAGCCGGCTTCGGCTGCTTTCATCCCGTTTCGTGGCGTGTGCATGGTTTACTGTTCCACCGGGGGCGGACGCAGCCACGACGAAGGGTGCCGCCGTTGGTTTGCTCCGTGTTTCCTCTGGCAGGTATTTATTTGTGTTCGTAGAGGGTGTTTGATGACAGGTTCTACCATCCATCCACTGGCGCTGCAACATATGCATCTGCCCCTGCACTTGCACCACCACCGCCGCCACCGCCACCGCCATTGCCACCGCCACCGCCATTGCCACCGCCACCGTCATAGCCACTTGTGTTTCTGGAGCGGAGTCGGCTTCGTCAGAAGGACGTGTTGAGGTCCCCCGCAGAAATACCTTGAACAACACCGACCCCGAGTGCCTGCGACCTGGTATTAAGGCTGTACAAAACACTGCGACGACAACCACCACCAGCCCATGCCTGAGTTCGTTGTTCGTGAGCCTGACCTATAGAAGGGTTTTCTCTGTCAGGCACAAGTGTCTCCATACCCAACCCTGTTGTGGTTAGCCCAGCAGGACGGATGTGCCAACTTGATGCTACGGACATTTGTCTTTACGCTTCACGAGTGGTGTAGCATTGCACCACGACTGCTTCAGATATTTCTTGCATTCCGGAGCAGTTCAGGCGGAAGCCTCAGCTCCTCAAGGTTCCGGAAGTTTTTTGACTCACTGAGAGCCAGGTCCTGTCCCAATCTTCGCGCCATGCACATCCTTGGAAAAGGACAGGAGTTGGGTCATGAGGCAAGCTTTGGAGCTTACATCAACCTCTGACAGACTGATGGCTTGCAGATGCTTAGAGGTGCCTGCTTGTTCGCCCATCTATGACATCAACGTTCCGGGAGTACCGTCGCCCAGTGTGGTTGGGGACACCGGAAAAGATTCTGAAGTTGGCCGGATTCCTCAATCAGCAGGCATTTGCTTCGAAGAGTCGTCGTAGGGAGTTGAGCCCATTCCCATCGAAGGCGATGCCGCTGGTAAATGTCCGCCCTCCCTCTTGGTGAATGATCTGTGCTATCGTTTCGATGCACCTGTGTGTTTGGCGAAGCCCCTGCCTGTCTGGGGAAGCAGATGCTCACCGAAACTCCGGCCTGGGAAACCAGTTCCAAGCCCCACAAGATGCTCAGATGCCACGTTTTGTCGTGAAGCACAGCATGTGCGCATGAACAACCAAAAACGGCGTAGCTGCCTAAGCACTCTGGCTCGACGCACGACGCCTTCAGCTTTTCAGATAGATCCCTTGTGCCTTCGGCGGTCATGGCCTCTGACCCTACGGCGGTGGCTTTGCAGCTGGTGGCAGCCGTCACGGCGGCACGACGCACCGGGATGGTGCCTGTCGTTGGCCTCCTTTCGGCGGACCAGGTGGCAGATTTGAACGATCTGACGACGACAGCTAACCTGGTCCAGCAGGGGATTGCTGAGGCGGCGGCGGCGGCAGAGGAGGTGCAGAGCTTTGCCCCGATGGTGGCGGGAGGCGTCGGCGGAGGATCGACGATGCCGTCCGGGGCCCAGACACCAGCATCGACGGTGGGGGTGGCCCCTCCTGACTTGGCCTTGAGCTCGACGCCTACGACGCCGAAGAAGGCCCCCCCACCGGTGCCCAAGGATGTGGAGGCGGCGACCCCTGCACGGCGTCCTGTGATGAAGGCGCCTCCCCAAGTTCCCGCCACGACGTGGCGAGTGACGCCCTTGGACCAATTGCCGCGGAAGGCGGCGCCTACATCGACGACTACCTCGGGGACATCGACGCCAGCCCATGTGCAGGTGAAGCCTATGCCTCAACGACGTCTTCCGACATCGCCTCGGGCGACAGCGGCGCCCTCGACGCCTGCAGCACCGATGGCGCCCATGCCCTCCGCTCCCCCGACGCCTGCTCAGAACACCGGGGGCGAGACGCCGGCGGACTACTTTGCCACTCCTGCAGCCAAGGCTCGTGCGGCGGCTCGGCTTGCGGCTGGGGCGGACCCGTTCGACGCCACACTGTCGATGATCGAGCGCTTCGGCGTCCGGGCTGGCCACCCCGGCGCAGTCTACTGCAGGACGACGCCCACCCAACATGCAGGAGATCCGGGCGGCGCTCAATGTCCAGACCGAGGCGATGGCGGCGGTGGCTCCCTCGACGGCTTCTACGAGACCGACGTCACCCAAGGCGCAGGGGAAGGCACCACCCGAGGCGCTCATGCCCCCGACGACGCTCATGGCACCAGAGCCGACGCCCGCGGCAGACCACCAGTACATCGACCCGGACCTTGGGATCCCGGCGGTCACGACGGTGGTTGCCGACACCTTCTTGGACACCCCTCTGGAGCCGACGGTGTCGGCGCAGGATTTCTTGGGCCCGGCGCCACCACCGCGGCCCTTCTTCAACTTGACCACGGCCTCGACGACGAGATCTCCGACGCCTCCGTCACCGAGGGTGGACCCGCCTGCGGCGGCTTCGGCCAGCGATTTCTTGGGGGCGGCGTCGGCGGGAGTCCCCGCGCCAGGGCCCATGACGACGGTGCCGGAGGAGGATCGGCCAGAGCCCTGGGAGATGCCTTCGACGCAGCGGCGCTCAGTGTTCCCCCCGGTCACGGCGGAGGGAACAGGGGGCAGGAACATGAGGGCACCGAGCGCGGCGCATCGGCGCGGCTCCGTGGGGCCCTCGCCCGGCCAAAGGGCGCAATGGCGCCGCGACGCTCGGTCCCAAGACGAGCGGCGCCAGTACGGCGCGTATGACAGTCGACGTTGGGGTGGTGCCGAGCCGTGGACGGCGGAGCAGGTGGACATCCCGGCGGAGTACTACCCCTACAAGGTGTCCATGGAACGGCGGGGGGCTTCGGCGCTCGGCGAGGTTGTCCCCAGCTCCCTTCGCCACTTGGCCTGCGACGACCTGGCGGCGGTGCGCCAAAAGGAGCAGGCGGCGCAGTGGCCTGAGACGGCGCCGCGGGGGGCACAGACCGAGACCGATTACTATTTCATTCGGCGGTTGCCCCAAGGAGTTGCCGGCGCTCGAATTACGGTGCAGCACTCCAAAGAACAGCGGCGCTTGGTGGGATGGTGCGCCCACCCGTGCCAGCAGCCCCGCGGCGACGACAACCGCTGCGACGGAGAAGGCAGGTGCCTCAGGCCCATCATGATCGGCGCCTACGGCGCGCATGGGAAAAGAGGGCACCGTTGCGCCCTGTGTGAGGGCCTGGTCGGCGGAGGTCGGCGCTAAGCCTTGCACCTCCCGACGAAGCGGAGAGGCTTCCTTTTGGCATTTTGCCACGACGGCCCCGCTTCCAAGATCCGCGGGTGTTCGACGGTTTGTCGACGCCTTGCACATGTCCCGGCGCTGGGCGCCACCATTCTTCCAAACAGCCTATCGACGCTCTTCGGCGCCAAAAAGAGGGAGAACGACGTTGAGTGCTCCGCCTGTCTGGTTGTGCTTTCTTCGACGTGTTGCCCTAACCTCCCCTCCCCGGCAGCCGTTTTGCTCGAGACGACGACGCGACCGCTGCAGACATGGCTCAAGACGCGTCGGCGCCACAGCCGGGCACCTTCGCAGCTTTCCTGGCCGAGGTAGCCGCGGCCGGCGGTCAGGCGCATATGCAGGTATTCGCCGAGCTCGGCGTCACCTCCCGAGCTCTCGTGGGACCGGCCGGCCCGGCACTGGCGGCAGCGGGGGTCCCCGAGCAGGTGATCTTGGAATTGGTGCGGCCGGCGCTGACCGGGCCGGCACCGTCGGCATTGGTGCCGCGACGGGCCGACCTGCCCTACCGCAGGCCTGTGGCGAAGGCTTCCCTCCAGGCGTCCCTCCAGGCGGCGGCCCCGCAGAACATTCAGCAGGCGGTGGACGCGCTTGAGGCCAATGTGGTGGCGGCGTCCACCAGGCGTGCCCTGGACTCCAGGATCAAGTTCTGGCTCAAGCTCGCGGCGACCAACGGCGTCGAGCCGTGGCCACTGACTCCCTGGAAACTTAAGGTCCTGGCGGCGTGCCTCCGGGAAGGGGGCTACCGCTCCGCCCAGCTCTACATCGACGCGGTGCTTTGGCACCAAGAGCATGTGCTGCAGACCGAGGTGCCGACGGGCATGAGGAAGGAGGCTCGGCGCCTGGCCAAAGCGGCGGTGCGGGGCATGCCCGGGACCAGGCTCAAGCAGGCCTTTGATCTCGGCGTGTTGGCTGCGGTGGTCAGGTTCGGGCCGGCCGACGGCCCCTTGGACTGCCGACGGCCCCACCATGCCGTCGACGTGGTGATCGTGGCTTCCTGGTTCATGCTCCGGGAGTCGGAGCTGGCCGGCGCCCGGGTCCGTGACATCACACTCTCGGCCGCGGTGTTCGGCGGAGGAGTCTCGCTGGACCTCCCGCTCCAGCGCTCTTCCCGACTACGACCACCGAGCTCAGGACCAAGGCGGCGTCGGTGGAGATGTTCGGCCTAGTCCTCGGCACGGCCGGCGTGGAGACGCATCACACCACACCCGACGGCCGGTCCCTTCCCATCTTCGGGGGGCACTCGGCGAGGGTGGCAGGCGCCACGTTCTTGGCGGCGAGAGGAGTTGCTGTCGCAGTCATCCAGCTGCTGGGGCGGTGGTCGAGCTCGGCGGTGGAACGCTACACTCAGTCGGCCCCTCTGACATATGCGGCGGCGGCGGTCCCGGCACAGGCCCTAGCCACGACGCCGGTAGACCAGCCGACCGCGAAGGCGCAGCCAGCAGCCCCCCAGTACCCGGCGATTGCCGACGTGGACAGGGAGAGCAGCTGGGAGGTGGTCGCCCCCCCCGACGCTCAGTCGGAAGAGGATGGGCTGGCCGGCGTGGCCTTCGTGCCGGCGCCCCTCCGAGCCGAGGCCGTGGCCAACATCGTCGGCGAAGCCCCGACGGTCTACATCATGAACTCCCGCACCAGGGTGGTCCACCTTCCTGGTCCCGACGAAGCGGGCCTGGAGCGACATGAGTGGGCGGCGAGCCTTCTGGCCTACGCCAGTTCTTTAGACTGTCGGCGGAGCCCCCGGAACCCCGGCGATGCCAGCGGTGTTTCCCGGTAGTGGCCTCGACGCGGCCGAGGTGGTAGGCTCCTCAGACGACGGCTCCTCCTCCTCTTCCTCTGGGGGGGGCTCGACGTCGGACAGTGACTGAGACCTGCACGGCGGGCACTGCTGAAAGATCCGACTCTGAAGTCCTCGACGCTCGCGCTCCGGGTTCGCGCTCGGAAGCCTGACGACGCAGTTTTTAGGCACAGTTCTTGTCTTAGCCCCCTACCCCTCGTCCTCGGCCGGCGCCCATGGCTGGTGCAGGCGGAGTGGTCATACCAACGGTGGCCGCGGCGATGGAGACCTTGGAGAACCTCCTCACCACGGCCGGCGCGGCCCCTCCGGTTCGGGCTTACTTGGCGGCGAAGGGCATCGCTTCGACGCCGACCCTGGCCTTTGATTGCAGAAGATGCCGCGGCGTTCGTGGCCAAGGTGGTGCAGCCCTTCCTCTCCGGCGTCACCGTGGCCGGCGCGGAGCACAAGGCCGCGGCTGGCAGCGAGGACGTGGCGAAGGCGGTGATGGTTCACCTGTTCACGGAGGCCCAGCGCCAGTGGAGAGCGGCGACCTCGACACCACCGACGCTGCCACCTGGGATGCTGCCTGCACCGGCGGCGCCTCCTGCGCCGGCCCCGGCAGCCGCATCGACCGACGACCGCCCGCCCAAGCACTTCGCACAGTGGTCGGCGCAGGTCCAGGCGTACGAGGACAAGACCGTGGACGGCGTCAAACGCGTCTTCCCGACCGAGAAGCTCCTCGGCGCGGAGGACGTGCTGGCGCGGCTCTGGCACGAGCACACCAAGACCAAGGAGTACAAGCCCTTGGGCCTCGGCGAGATCGTGGCCAGGCGCACGTGGACGGCGGGCATGGACCTTAACACCATGGCGGCGGGGAGGTCTTCTTCCTCCTCCGGCGCCAAGGCCATCAAGCTCGTCGACGGGAACCTCGTCGCGGAGGACACCGACGAGTGGACGCCCAAGGGGATCATGCTCACCATCGACGGGATTGATGCCTCCCGCTGGGCGTGGATCATCTGTGGCTTCGACGAGGAGCGACGGATTGACCGGTTCGCGAACTGGTTCATCGAGCGGGCCCGCTCGAAGCAGGCGTCCATTCCGGCGGTGCAGAGTTACTGGGCGGACTCAATGTGGAAACTCTGCGCCGATATGCGGCGGGGCCTCACATTTGGTGAGGCGACGGACCGCATCATGAAGGACACCGGCGCTTGGAATGAACATGTCATCGCCCACGCGGCGGCGGCTGCGAGGCAGCGCCCGACGCCACCCACCAAGGAGTCCATGGGATCCGACGGGGCGGCGCCCCCGCCCGATGGTGAGGAGCCCCGGAAGGGCGGGCCGCGACGCTGGAGGCCCAGGCGACGCCCGACGGCCCAGACCACTACCAAGGGCGATGGCCGCGACGGACAGCAGCAGCCACCCAAGGGGCAGACTAAGGGCGGCGGCCGTGAAGACACAGGCTCGTGGAGGGACCACGGCGGCCGCGGCGGCCACCAACAGAAGGATTGGAACCAGTGGGGCGGCGCCAAGCGACAGAACCAGTGGTCCGAGCAGGGCTCCGGCGGCTGGGGAAAGCAGAGCCAGACGGACGGCGCCGGCGACTGGAAGCGCCGACGCTAGGGACAGCACGGGGCCCCGTCTGTGCCCCCCGCGCAGGACGGGGTACCAACGGCCCAAGCTCACCCACCGGAAGCCCAACGGCGATGAAGTCATCGTGCTGTCCGTGTTCGACGGGGTCGGCGCGGCCCCCTGGCTGGTCTGGGACTCGTGGGCCGACCGGCGGCCATGTTTGCCTGGGAGACAGATCGCGCAGCCACGGCGGTGGCGAAGGCGCAGCTGCCAGGCCTGTCATGCCGGGGCGACATCAACGACGACGACCCCACTAAGGTGGCCGACGTTATTGAGAAGGTCGACCCCTGGGGCCGCTGCCTCGTCATCTTCTCGGCGGCGCCACCTTGCCAAGACTTCTCCCGCGTCACCGACGGGCCAGGCCACAACGGCGACCGCGGCGGGTTGTTCCTTCAGACGGTGGAGTTCATGTCCGAGGTCCGGCGGTTGGTGGCACCGCGGCGCTTTGGCTTCATCTTCGAGAACGTCGAGATGGCGACGGCCGACGCCAAGCAGATTACTGAAGCTCTGGGCGCGACGCCGCTGTGGGCCGACGCTGCCGACTTCGGCTGGGTCGGACGGCCACGCCTCTGGTGGCTCTCGACGGACTGGGCGCGGATGACGCTGGACCCGGAGACCGGCGAGCCCCTGCAGTGGACGCGACGAGGCCAGTGGGACCGCCTCCGGGTGGAAGAAGCGCGACGGCCGGTGGAGGCACTGGACATGGGGGACCTCACATTCGACGACTCAGTCTTGTCGGGCCGTCGGCGCCTACCCTGCTTCACCACCCCGGCGCTCGATGAGAACGGCCGGGCGGCGCCCAAGGGCTGCAGGGGCAAGATCCCGTCCGACGCACAGCAGCGGTGGTCGGCGGATCGACGCCAGTTCGCGCCTTGGCACTACGTGAAGGAGGCGATGGTGGTGAGCTCCGACGGGAAGCTGCAGATCCCGCCCCCGCGGGTCAAGGAACAGCTTCACCACATGCCGGCGGACTTCACGTGGGGGCCGGGCGAAGCACCGCTCGACGACCGCGCCCGCCACCGACTCATTGGAAATGGGTGGCACTGGGGCGTGGCGCGGCGCCTACTGCTGATACTGCTGGTGGCCACGGCGTTCCAAACCTCCGACGCCAGACCACAAGGGGAACCGCCCCGATCGACGATCTCATGGGTCACCTCGTTGTGGCAGTTCGGCGGCCCGGTCATGGGACCGGCGCCGGGGGAGGACACACTGGACCCCATGGTGGACCTCGACGGGGAAGCCCACTGGAAAGCCTCGGCGGTCATACCGCACCCGTTCCAGGCCCGGCCGCGGCTGGAGCCGGCTTGGGAGGAGGCCCTGACCATCCGACGGCGGTGGCGCCACGACTTGGCCAGGATCAGGCGCGAGGTGGTCCAGGAGGTCAAGGACCTGATCGACGACCTGGCCGAGCAGACGACGGCATGGATGTCCCAGCGGTCGGCGGCGGTCAAAGCCACCTACTCCACACCGGACAAGCCGGCGGTTACACAGATCCCCGTCCTGCTGGAGCTCCTTCGGCGCCTCAACTACCCCGACCTCGAGAACCTCACCGAGGACCTCACCCAGGGCTTTAACATGATCGGCGGCCTCAAGTCAGGCCCGGGCTGGAAGAAGCGGACCGACGACCGCTATAAGCACCGGGCGTCCATGGAGGAGCTTCGACGGATCAACGCGGACTATGTGAGGCAGCGCACCGCGACAGCCAGGGTCGGCGAGCACACCGAGACATTGCTGCAGGAGCTCATCGACGAGGTCAAGCTGGGGCGAGTGGTTGGGCCCACCAGGGCACCGGCGTGGCTGAAGGCACGGGCGGTGGCCTTGCCGTGGCGCGACGGGGTGGCGCACCTGGTAGAGCCCCCGCCTGGCGAGGTGTTTCTGGCGGCGTCCTTCGCCATTGTCCAGGTCGACGAACACGGGAACATTAAGATTCGACGGGGCGAGGATTGGCGTCGCTCCGGCCACAACTCCACGGTGGCGGCGGACGACGTCCCCACACACCATTTCCTGGGGAGCTTTGTGGATTTGGCTCGGCGCATGGCGGGCGACGGCGTGGTCCTGATCTTCGGCCACGACCTCCTCAATGCGTACAGGCAATGGCCTGTGCGCTGCCCGGCGCACTGCGGCACATTCCTCCCCACCGCGGCGGGGATGACATTTTGGTATCACCTCGCGATGAATTTCGGCGCTACGGCGTCCGTTTGGAATTTTAATCGCGGCGGGGATGCGCTCCAACAGCTGCTGCGTGGCCTGCTTCTCCTGCCGACGGGCCACTACGTGGATGACTTCAATGGCCTCGAGTTTGAGGAGCTGGGCCAATCGGCGATGGAGGCGTTCGAGCAGCTGTTCGCGGCGCTGGGCTTCCGCATCAAGGTCTCCAAGTCCCAGCCGGCGGCGGCCCAGCACATCGTCCAGGGCGTCCTCTTTGAGATCTCGCCGCGGGGGGTCACACTCAGCCCCACACCGGAGAGAGTGCGGCGCATCATGGCCCAGATTACGCAGGCGCTCCAGAACGACGCCATGAAGCCCGACGAGGCGCACAAATTGGCGGGTCGCCTCTCGTTCCTTACCCAGGCGGTCTTCGGCGGGGTCGGCAAGGCCCCCATCAAGGCAGTGTACGCGAGAGCGGCGGACACGGCGGCCCACTCCAACGACGGCCTGTCCGGCGGGCTCAGGGCGGCGCTGCGCTCCCTCGAGAAGATCCTGCCGACGATTCGCCCCCGCTTCATCCCGTTCAACCCCGACGACATGGACACGGCGGTGCTGTACGCGGACGCCTTCTTCCTGGACGGCGAACAGCGACACAAGGCCGGCCATGTCCCGACGACTGCGTCGGCGGCCGCACCCAACCGGGCCAGCAACGGTTGGGGCTTTGTGCTGCGCCTCGGCGGGGTGGTGTTCTACGATCACGGCGTAGTCCCACCCTGGTTTCTACGGAAATTCGAATCTCGACGAGCATTTATTTATATGCTCGAGGTGTTTGCACAGGTGGCGGCGCTGGCGGCCTTTGCCACGCACCTGCCCGGCGCCGTGACCGCGTTCATCGACAACACGGCGGGCCAGGCGGCGCTGTCCAAGGGGTATGGGAAGGACCCGGCGATGAATGGTATGTTGGCTGCCTTTTGGGCCTTGGCGGCGAGGCAGGGGACTATGGTCGACTTTCGACGGGTCCCGTCCAAGGCGAATGTGGCCGACGCTGTGTCCCGGGACGATTTTGACAGGGCCCGACGGGAAGGCTGGACGAGGGTCCACATCCCGGCGTCGCCCATCATGCACATCTTGGCGAAGGCGGTTGACGACTTGCTCTACGCGGTGGATGGGGCGGCGGCTGATCTCCTGGCATGCTCTACTGAGTGGTCTGGTGAGCCGGCGCTTGGTGGGGCTGTGTGCGCCGG